AGTGCTGCGCGGGGGTCCCCAGTGCTATTCAGGAGTCCCCAGTGCCATTCAGAGGTCCCCAGTGCTGCCCGGGGGTCCCCAGTGCCATTCAGGGGTCCCCAGTGCTGCCCAGGGCTCCCTACTGCTCTCCGGAGGTCCACAGTGCTCTTCGGGGGTCCCCAGTGCTGCTCAGGGGTCCCCAATGTTGCCTGGGGATCCCCAGTGCTCTCTGGGAGTTTCCAGTACTGCCCGGGGGTCCCCAGTGCTGCCCGGGGGTCCCCAATGCTGTCCGGGGGTACCCAATGCTGCTCAGGGGTTCCCAACGTTTCTCCTGGGTCCTCAGTGTTGTCCAGGGGTCCCCAATGTTTCTCGGGGGTGCCCATTGCTGTCCGGGTGTCCCCAGTGCTGTCCAGGGGTCCCCAATGCTGCCAGAGTGCCCCCACTGCTGTCTGGGTGTCCCCAGTGCTGTCCAGGGGTCCCCAATGGTGCTCAGGGGTCCCCAGTGCTGCTCGGGTGTCCCCATGGCTGCTGGGTGTCCCCATTTTTGGCCCTCGCTGACCCCATCTCTCCGCAGGCAGCGATGCCCGTGGAGCCCCTGATCTGCGCCGACACGGCCACGCGGTGAGTCCCGGCCCCCCGAGGGGACAGCAGGGTGCTGGGGCCACCACCCCCAGGCGGGTCCCTCCTGGGTGCCACGTGCTGTCCCCTGGCCCTGCGGGAGACTCGAGTCCCATCGCTGACGCTGTCCTCGTCGTGTCCCCGGGATGGTGGCGCGTGTCCCTGCAGGGTGAGCTCCGTGCTTAACCGGGATGTGAAGCAGTTCGGGAAGAAGCACATGTTCGACGCGAGCGAGGAGACGTGCTGGAACTCGGATCAGGTGCGGGGACGAGGACAAGGGGAAGCCGGAGGGGTGGGACGGGAGCTGGGCACATGGTGGACACCTCGCTCTCTCCCCGGTGACAGAGCCCCGATGTCATTCCTGCCTTTAGGGCACGTGCCAGTGGGTCACCCTGGATTTCCCCCGCACCGTCAAGGTCTCGCAGCTCCACATCCAGTTCCAGGGGGGATTCTCCAGCCGGCTGTGCACGCTGGAAGGTGAGGACCTGCTTTGGGGGCATGGAGGTCCCTCTGCCTCAGTTTACCCACACCTGCATCCCACAGCTGCTCGTTGCAGGGCCCAGAGGTATTTGTTAGGTGTTCCCAAAACCCAAGAGGGGTTGAGGCGGGGGGCTGGAGCAGAGAGGGGTGAATAACAAGGACCTGGGGTTCTCCGGGACAATTTGGGGTGCAGATGAGAACCTGGTCCGTTAGATGGACCACTGCTCCCAGCCCTGCGGCAGAGCCAGCGCAGGGAGGATTTTTTTGGGGCAGCCGAGGCCGTGGGAGCCGGCGGAGGTTCCCCCAGCACCGCAGCCTCCCCCGGCTGCCTCCCCCCTTCCCCTCCGCAGGCTGCAGAGCAGGTGAAGAACCGGTGAAAATATGCGACCTGTACCCCGAGGACATCAACGCCATGCAGATATCCTTTGCGACGTTGCGGGCTGGGGGGGATGGCATGAGGGGGGGGGTTCAGAGCCACCCGCGGCTGCGGAGGGGCAGCGGGGCCGTGGCAGAGCTGCGATTTAAACGAGAGACCTGTGGCACTTTGCTACCACTAAAGGAACTCAGCGGAGCTGGAGCAAATCTGGACATCACCGGCTATAGGACACCGGCGTGTGAGCCCCACGCGTGTCCCCTCGGAGCAGGTCTCGCACGTGTTGTGGTGTCCCCCTGCCTATTTTTCTCCTTTACGAACCCCGCACAGATTCCAGGTGGAGGAGACGGTGCTGGATAAGCTGAAGATCACCTTTGAGAACAGCACGGACTTCTTCGGGAGGATCGTGGTGTACCACCTCGGGGTGCTGGGGGAGAAGCTCTAGGGCAGCGGTGAGGCACAGCGGTGAGGCACCGCTTCCCCATCGCCTTCCTTCTCCCACGGGGAAATGGGACAGCAAACCCTGCCAGCGGGGACGTGCCACCCCCCCCATTGCACCCCAAGGTGCTGAAAGGGGACCATCGCCCCGCGGGATGGCAGTGACAGAGGGACACTAGTGCAGAGATGCACGTGCTGGACTTCTGAGCCTTAGGTGGGACAACAACCTGTGTAACCGGCCAAATAAATGGTGTCCTCGCTCCCTCCCGGCTGCTCCTTGGGCAAATGGCACCCCGGGACAGAGCCCGCCGGGGTTTGCCATGGCCATGCCGGTGCGTGGCTTGAGCAGGAGAGAGGAGAAGTGCCACCTCCGTGTGCTGCGGGCTCTGGGTGGCTCTCGCCTTTGCTAACCACCCCCGAACTTCTCGGAGCGGCTTTTTGAGGCCTCGCGGGGCTCCCGCTCGGACTCGCCGCTTGCCGGCTGTCGGCCGGGGCCGTGCTGTGTTCCTGGCTCAGCGGGGTGATGCTTCCCGCGGGGTTTTGCTCCTGCTTGTGACATATTTCCCTGGCTGGTTGTGCAGGGAGGGCTTGGCAAGTTCATGGGCGTAAGAAGGAGCTTCCTTCTTCAAAGAGACAGTTCTGGAGAGGGACACCAGGGCACTGCGGGGGGTGCAAGCCTTGAAGAGACTGGTTGGCCCCAGTTTCCCCAGTAGCTAGTGCTGGGATCGGGGGACTGGCAGCTGTGAGAGGCTGAGGCGATGGAGAGGGCTCCACACGGCTGCTTTAGAGTTTACTTCCAACAATGCAACACCTGAATGCGCAGACGCGTGAAGCAGCCGAGTCTGGACAGGGCAGAAATGCAGCTGCCCTGAGGAGGAATGAGTGTCCCCAAGTGCGAGGCGCCGTGGCCGTGCCCCGCTCTGGGAGAGGCATAGATTCACCCAGGGCAGGCGGTTCCCGGCCTCCTCCACGTCCTCCTTGCTTGAAGCATCGCACCGCTGCCGGTTTCGGGACGGCTGGGTGAGGCCGCCTTGGTCCTAGAGGAGAGCCCTGCGTCGGGCGGGAGAAGCGCTGGTGCTGCAGCAGCGCAGCGCGAGCCGCCGCGTCACTCCAGCCCCTTTTTCTGAAATAGCTTGAGGATGTGATTTTCGATAACCTGTTGGACTAACGGAGGGGAGAGAAGTGAAACCCAGGGAAGCAAAGCCTGTGAGAAGGCAGTAGTGCTGCGGGCGGGAGCCGGTCACCATATTCCTCCTGTTTTCCAGTGGGATGCTGGAAAACCCCTTTCTCCAGGGGTCTGTCCCCATCTCCCCTGTCCCAGCCCTATCCCCAGCACAGCGCTGGTTTGGAGGGGGAGCGAGGGGAACAAGACCCGTTTTGATTTCTCTGGCTCGGTTTCTCTGCGTGGCAGAGAGGGGAGCTGTGGTGGAAGGTCAAAAAAAAAAAAAAAAAAACCCGAGCAAGGCTGGAAGCTGGGAATTGCCAGGAGGCTTTCTGAAGAGGGAAGGCAGGGCTCCCTGCCAGGCACAGAGGGGACACTTGCCTTTCTTGTGTCCCAGCGCCACGGCCAGATCCATCGGGGTGTAGCCAGAATCCGCCTCCGTCGTCAGGTCGGCGCCACGAGCTGCAAGCAGGCAGTGGAGATCAGGGCACGGCGCTCCCCTGCCGACGCGGCGTCCCCTCCGGGTCAGGCACAGGGTGAAGGGACCCCCAAAAGGTGCCCGTCCTGCCTGGGCAGCCCCCCGTGACACCCCCAGGCTGCTCAGTTTCTCCCCCCAGGCATGTCACGCTCTCTCCCCGAGGCGGTTACCAACGAGCAGCGATTCGAGGCCAAGGACTAAGTTGCAGATCTTCCCCGTTACCTAGTAGGGCCTCGACACACTTGACGTGATTGCCGCGCACGGCGTAGAGCAGAGGAGTGCCGCCGTTCTGCAGGGAAAGGGAAGGGGTTGTGTCATTGGCGGCCTTGCGCGGGGCCATGCTGATGCAGCTCCTGCTTCTCCCGGAGCGGTAGGTCCCCGACCCACTGGGAAACCCTTTCCGCCCTCTCCCACCTCCGGGCTGGGTGTTTTCTCGCAGAGCGGCTCTGCGCAGGTTGTATTCTCTGCATGGAATATAGCGACTTTGAACTCGTGTGATTTTAAAGACAACCTTAAGTTCTGAGCACTGTTTCCTTGTGGCTGACATCACCAGTGTGAACAAGTGAGGAAACCATTTAAAATTATTATCCAGATTAATTTCTCGGAACAACCCCATGAGCAGGCAAACGAGCGCCGCGAGCCTGGGAAGCATCTAGGAGAAAGGCACTGCTGCTAACTCAGCCCAGAACGATGTGAACTCGCTGATGCTTTTTAAAATGAGCTTTACAGAGCCCCATTCGGGGCTCGGTGTCGCTCCCAGCGCGAGCGCGGGCACGGTCCCCGCAGCAGCCTGTGCCCGGTGACACTCACCCAGTCGTAGATGTTGATGTCCACGTTCCTCTCCAGCAGCATGATGACGATGTCGGTGTAGCCGCCCATGCTGGCCAGGGACAGGGCGCTCTCCCGCTCCTTCGCCAGCGCGTGGGGGTCAGCGCCCTGGGGACGGCACAGGCGTTAGCCCCGAGGGGCGCAGGAGCCCCGCTGAGACCTGGGGCACTCGGCTCAGCCTTGCTGGGTACCCCAGGGGGGCTGTTCCCGACAGCCTCATGGGGCAGAGATGGCTCACGCCTTCCCAGTGACCTCTCTTTACCAAAATTCTTACAGGGCAGATTTTAATCATCGTCGAACATCTCAGGTGAGGACTTAAAAGCCCTTCTCCGGTGTCAGTGAACTCAGGCTGATGGTTCCTGTTACTCAGCCCTTTTTCCCATCACCGGTGACAGTGTTACCGGCCCTGTCTGGATACCTGTATGGGATCCACCATCTCTTTTGTTACTGATTTACCTAGAAAACCTCCCTGTCCTCCAATCCCTCTGCACCATGGACCTCTCCTGGACTTCATTATAGCTTTTATCAATGTATCACCTCATTTATTTTGGGTTCTGTTTGTCTCTCTGGTAAATCATTGCAATTTTGCTGCGAATACAGTAACAGAGCCGGTGCTTACATGGCGTGAGCGCTCGCTGATCATTGGACACGCGTGGATGCGGGACTGAGCTTTGGGGAGCAGACTGCTGCAGAGCGCAGGAGGATCTGGTTCCTGCTCACCCCCAGACAGTCCTCGACTGCAAGCCCAGCACTCAAGGACGGTGCAGCAATGAGTTCATTAACTGCAACGATACCTCGGTGAGCACATTTGCTGGCAGATTACAGGGCCCAAGTGATAAGCCTGATCTCAAATTACCAATAAGCAGATATTTAATTACAAACAGTTATTGCTAGCTGGGAGATAAGGCTCTTCATGCTTCTGACTTAGCTCACGGCCCAACAGGGAGTAGCATCTGACAGCGTCTGAGCCGTTAGCTCTGCAAACGTGTCCTGTTTGGTGCCATGGGAAAGGTTGGCTGAGATGGTACCAGGATGTTGCTGGACAATTTGGCAGCTACCGGGGTTGGAGAGGAGAAGTCTCCTGTTAACGACGTGCTGCGTGAGCGTGGCCTTACCCATTCCAGCAGGTGACGGACCGTTTCGATCTCTCCGAAGGCTGCAGCCCAGATCAGCGGCGTGAAACCTCTCTCATCAGGTTTATTTACCAAGTTCTCCCCTGCACAAACGTGGATGACACGTGCTGTCACATGACACATTGTAATCAGGAAGGGTAAAGCCCCCTCTGCTCTCCGTCCCCCCAGTAAACCCAACAAAGGCTGTAAAACTAAGCCAAGGGTTTATCCAAAGGCATGCTGTGACCTGGCAGGACTCTGCATGATCTGGGCTAAGAGCCCAAAGGAAGAGACACATACCTTTGCGAAGGTGCTCTTTCAGCTGGCTGAGCTCTCCTTGGGCAGCAAGCTGGTGGATGGACAACGCTGGGGGATAGAAAGAATTCCCCCATCAGGACAAACTTTGCCCAGCTCAGACTGCAGGTGGGTCCTTGCAAGTCTGGGGCGGTGGTGACTGGACAGCCCCTATCTGAGCCCCCAAAACCCCAGTGGGTAACTAACACCCTTCTGCCGTACAGCAGCGGGGACAGCCAGCCACGGCGAGTGCTGAGAGCAACAGCACTGCAGGGAGCAGCCTGAGAGACCATCCCAAGAGACACCGAACAGCGCGGCAGCAGGAGATGGAGGGAGGGTCCAGCCCCGCTGTCCCTCTGCTCCCTCTACACCCCATGTGCATCCACAGTCTGGGATGCACAGCCCGCTCTGCCCGGCGATACTTACTGTCCAGCGTGGCTGGGAGGGCCGAGACCTCGTTGCCTCGCTGCCTGTTCGTCAGCGTGTTCGAGTGCTTCAGGGGGAAGCCTGTTCCAGAGAGAGGAGAGAGAGTCAGGGCACATCTCTTCCGTGCACAGGGAGGAACTACACGGACTTGAGGCCAAGAGCCAGGTCTCATGCACCTTATGTGAAGCAGTTCCGTCCTGTCCCTGGCAAAAACTGAGTCCTGCAAAAAAAGGAATTATTTCCTTGGAAGTAATGAACCTGGAGAGTGAGGTCTGAGCAGTGTGCAGAGACCAACGGCTGAGGAGGGAAGATAAAACAGCCCAAACAGCTGCCCAAGGAGGGGCAGGGTCCATCTGGGGCACCACGGAATCTGGCATTAATGGCATAATTACACACGATATACTGCAGAGGACAGCCTGGGGGATGCACTTGAGTTCATCCTCATATTTCCTTGAAGAGCTTCACTTGGAAATCTCAATGTGTTTTCAACGAGCGATTTGTAGTTTAATTAGGAAAGTGCATGGAAAGAATTTGCCATCTGTAGTTCCAGTGCATGGAGCTGCAGCGACCTCTCACTGCTGTCGCAAGTCATCAGCAAGGTCTGGATTTGGACTTGGCCTTGCCACGTTATGGGAGGATCCAGCAGCAGCAAAAGACTTTTTTTCTAGCTGCCTTTGTGGGATGAGAGCTCCGCATGACCTCTCCCACGCCTGTCTCCCTCTGGGGCTGCGCCTGAGCATCTGTGAGCACCAGGCTCTGCAACACTCACTGTCAAGTGCCGAGAGCTCGGTGCTCCTCTGCTTGTCCATCGAGGCAGCCGAGGGCTTCGGGAGAGCGTCTGTTCCACCTGTGAAACCAGGGTGGCCATTAGGGACCTCGGTGCCTCTCGTTGGGGAGCAGGCTGAGCTCCACACGCGGCACGACACCCAACCGGCACAGCAAGCACCCCATGAGCACCCCGATCCCAAGGCGGAGGGCACATCGATCCCAGTTTACAGTGGGACAGACACTGCAGGATCCCGGGTCTGCGCATGCCCCGTCTCAGCTCCCACCACCCTGTCACCCCCAGCACTCACCGTCCCCGTGGTCCAAGCGTGGCATGTCCTGGTCCGTCCGCAGATGCCCCGGGGGGGCATCTCTGTCCCCTGCATCCCTGGTCCCAGCCAGCTCCTCTGCGGCTGCTGCTCCCTCGGTTCCATTTTCACCCTCTTTCGGGAGCTCCTGGGCATCCCCGTCATTTGGGGGGGTCTCCACGAGACGAGCGACTGCTTCTTCACCTTCCATGGGGCAACTGCCACAAAACAACACATTAAGAAGGGGGGGAAAACGTGGGGACATCTCCCAGGACGGAGAGGGCAGCGGGGGGGGAGGCTGCCGAGTCCCCGAGCACCAAGGGCTTGCGGCCACC